ATTTATACAATCCCTCCCCACAAGTCCACTCCACTGTGCAGTGTTCGTTCTGGACTCCTGTCATGACAATAATACCAAATCACATATCCCTTTTGAACAGTTCTCTCTCCCTCATCTGTTCCAACACAGTATACATTATTTATCCCCTCTTTCTCAATTTTCCTTCAACCCAGATGTCAGTCCAGTTTTACAACAGTGGCACTATGCAGTATTTATCCTTTTGTGACTGAGATATTTCATTCAGCATAATATCCCCCAGAGTCACACATTTTATATAATATTTCGTTAGTTCTTTGTTTTTCAATACAGCATAGTATTCCATTGGGTGAATTCATTTGTTGATGGGCACTTGGGTTGTTTCCAACTCTGCTATTGTGGACAAAGCCAAAATAAACTTGGGTGTGCTTATATCTGCTTGGCTGGCAGTTACAGTTTCTTGAGGATATCTTCCCAGTAGTGGAATTGGTGGGTCAAATGATATTTCTTTTGCAATTTCTTGACAAAGCGCCATACAGCCTTGCACCATTTTACACTCCCACCAATAGTAAATAAGGGCTCCAGTTTCTCCGCAACCTCACCAGTGTTTGATGTTTGCTGTTCTATTAAATTTTGCTGTTCTTACTGGGGTGAGATGATATCTCATAGTTGTTTTGATTTCCATCTCTCCTAGAGCTAAGGATTTTAAACATTTCTTTATGTGCTTGTTGGCCATCTGAATGTCTTCTTTGGTGAAACGTCTGTTCATATATGGTGCCCATTTTTCAGTTGGGTTATTTACCTTTATCTTCACTATAAACTTAATTAAGGAAAAGCTTGGAAGAACTGTAAAAGTCCTAATCCAAAGCATAAAACGTATTTCAATCATTCTGGAAAATCTACAACCAGGAGAGGATAAAATAGATGAATGGGACCTTCTAAGAGTCAAATCCCTATGCACATCCAAAAACTTCTCCAACAGGGTAAAAAGGGAAGTCACAGATTGGGGAAAAAATATTTGGTAATGACATATCAGGCAAGGAACTTATATCTAGAATTTGTAAAATACTCAAACAACACAACAAGATAAAGGTTGTATCTTTTATCCATACTGCATTCTCAGCCAGTCATTTAAGAAGTCTGGCTTGGAGGAAGCATTAAGATTGGAGGAAGACTCTTTAACAACCATTCTTACAGAACCTGAAGAGGGTGTAAAGTACTTAATAAAAAAGAATAACATCTATATCCTTCAATACGGATTGTGTCTCAACATCAAGAAAATGAAAATTCTCTCCATGAGACCAATAGGAAATAAAGCAACATGATTGATAGAAAAAGATTGATGTTGTCCAAGAGTTTATGTTACTGGGTTCATATTCAACACCTATTGGAGCAGCAATCAAAAAGTAGAAACATGTATTGCCTTGGGCAAATATGCTGTCAAAGACCTCTTTAAAATACAAGGATGTCAGTTTGAAGACTAAGATGTATCTGTCTCAAGCAATGGGATTTTCGAATTTTAAAAAAAATATGGATGTGAAAGTTTGACAATGAATAATGAAGAGTGAAGAATTGGTGCTTTTGAATTATGGTGATGGTGTAAAGTATTGAATATTTTCAAAATCACCTAAAAAAGAGTTCTGTCTTGGAGAAAGGATGCTCTTGAAAGGCAAGGATGGTGAAACTTCATCTCATTTACTTTAAGCATTTTGTCAGTAGAAAAAGACATCATTCTTAGAAAAGTTAGCAAAAGAGAAGAAGTTTCTCAGCAATCTATTATCAACAACGGATTGATTCAGAGACTGAAACAATGGTATAAGCAAGGAGAGAATCATAAGAATGGCACAGGATACAGCAAGATTCAGATTTGTTGTACAAAGAGTATCATCAATGGTAATTGATTCAGCAGCTCCTAACAACAACAAGAGTTTCTTTGTTAAGGCCTTTTATTTCTCTTTTTCATTATGTGTGTGTGTGTGTGTGTGTGTGTGTGCGCGCGCGCGCGCGTGTGTGTGTGTGTGTGTAAACAACATGCCTCTGGAAGAGGGTTCAGATCTTTTGTTCATAGGGTTGCTGTGAGTTGTGCTCAACTCGACAGCAATCAATAACAACTATGTGTGTGTATACATGCATACATATATACATATATGTATACACATATGTAAACACACATACATATATGTAAACATACATACATATATGTATACACATACGTATGTGTATACATGTACATATATGTATACATACATATATTTATACATATATGTATACACACATACGTATATGTATGTACATATATGTATGTACATATACACATACACACAAACATATATATATATATAGATAAAATCTTGGCTAAACACAGAGTATCAGAGGAATGTCTGTGTTTCATTAACTATGCAAAGGCATTTGACTTTATGGATCACAACAAATTGTGATTAACCTTGAGGAGAATGGGAATCCCAAAAGACTTGACTATTCTAAAGTGAAACCTATACTTGGACCAGCAGTCCTTAGAACAGAACAAGGAAACTCTGCATGGTTCAAAATCAAGAAAGGAGTGCATCAACAATGTGTCCTGTCACCATACTTCTCAATCTATATGCAGAACATACCATTCAGGAGGCTAGGCTTTTACGAAGATAATGTGGCATCAGGATTAAAGGAAGAACAACCTACATTATGCTGATGATACAATCTTGCTTGCCGAAATCGAGGAGGATCTGAAGTGCTTGCTGCAGAAGGTCAATGACTATAGTCTTCATGGATTGAAGCTCAACATCAAGACAAATATTCTCACCATTGGGCCATTGGCAGCACCATGATAGATGGAGAAGAGATTGATGTTCTTAACAATTACAGTGTGCTCAGCTCCACAATCAACATTCTTGGCACCCACCAGCAGTCAGAAAATCAAAAGACAAATTGCAGTAGGAAAATATGCTATCAGGGACTTCTTCAGAGTACTGAGAAGCAATGATTTCAGTTCAGGAACTAAGGTGTTCTTGTTCCAGGCCCTGGTCTTCAGAATGACTTGCTCCACATCAGAGAGCTGGATAATGACTAAAGATGACAGAAGAAGAATCAATGCCTTTGAGTTGTGGTACCAGAGAAGAATCTTGAACATATCATGGTCTGTCAAGAAAACAAATAGTTCTATCTCGGAGATGGTGAAACCAAGTTTCTCCTTGGAGAATAGGATTTTGACACTTCATCTCACATACTTTGAGCACATAACCAGGAGGGACTGGTACTTGAAGAAGGGTATCAAGCTTGGAAAAGTGGAGGGATAGCACAGGAAAGGAAGACACTGAATGAGATGGCTTGATAGAGTGACTGGGACAATGGGGCCAAGTGTTTCGGAGTCAGTGAAACTGGCTCAGGACAGGGCAGACTTCAAAGCTGTTTACATAGTGTCATGAAGAGTTTCTGGAGACTCATGGGCACATGATAACAACAACAATAATAATATAGTTTTTGTTTTGGATAGACACCATCATGTAATAAGCTAAGAACTTTACCAAGGAAATACCTATTGTGGGAAGGGTAAGGAATTCAAAAAAGATTTGAAAGTCTAATTTGATGTTGGAAATGAGGAAGAAGTAATATTCTGGATGCCTAGAGATGATAAAGCTGTTTATAAAAATAGAAACTCCAGGACATGGGGCAGGCTTGGTACAGGAAGCAGTAAATGATTATTTCATCTTGAGGTATATGTTGGATGTTTTCCAACAAATAAACTCCTAAAGTTAGCTGATAAAGACTTGAAATGCATGACAAAGATATGGTCTGGAGATAAGAGTTTGGGAGTCACTAACAAATAGTAGATAATTGAGGTCATCATAGTTAAGATTATTCACAGGAGTGGTTAGCATGACTAAAGTAAGATTAGAACCTTGGAGCTAAGCTAAGAATTGTTGTTGTTTGGTATATCATAGACTCAAAACCAGCTCATAGCTGCCCCACCAGTGGATTTTCAGAGACAGTGAGTTGCACAGGAGGAGGCTGCCTATCTTTTCCCTGCAAAGCATCTGGTGGATTCAAACAGTGTTCCTTTGAGTTGACAGTGGAACTCCTTATGGAAAATAAAGTTCTCAAAGCTAAGGAGGTATAAATATCAAGAAGGATAAAAGAAAACTAAAAAAGGAAGGAAGAAAATTTGTTATTTGTAAGCATCTGTAAACGAGATGTCCTGAAAGTACACTTTAGGGTTTAGCTAACACTTTTAAGTGGCTTCAAGTATAAAATTACAAAATATGCTTTAAATGTGGTGCGTCTGATACAGGCCATGGTCTTCGCAATCACCTGTTATGCATCAGAGAGTTGGACAATGACCAAGGAGGATAGAAGGAAAATTGATGCCTTTGAGCTGTGGTGCTGGAGAAGAGTATTGAGAATACCATGGACTGCTAGGAAAACAAACAGATTTGTCCTGGAGAGGGTTAAACCGGGTGGCTCCTTGGAGGCAAGGATTCTGAGGCTCCGTCTAACTTACTTTGGACATGTTGTGAGGAGAGACTGGTCCTTGGAGAGGGACATCATGCTTGGGAGGGTGGAGGGACAGCGCAGGAGAGGAAGGCCCTCTATGAGGTGGATTGATTCAGTGACTGGGATAATTGGGATGGGAGTGTCAGAGACAGTGCGATTGGCACAGGACAGAGCAGAGTCTACGGCTGTTGTACATAGGGTCACTATGAGTCGCAAGCGACCCGACGGCACATAACAACAACAACAACAACAAGAAGCTGTTCTGCAATCCCAAAGACATGCCGTTCAAATTCACTACCTGCACTGAGGGTAAAGAAGGAGCAATCTCCTCCCACGTTATTAATTGCCTCTGTAAATCTTTTGGATGGTCAGCTATAGGTCAGTTTAAACTTGATGATACGCAACACCACCACCACCATAATGTTTGTACTAATTAAGTAAACGGAATAACTTTAAGCTTATTTTCTTAGTAAGGACAAGGATTAAAGGACAAAGAATTGATTTATCTATAAATGTGCCTTTATTTTCTCTTTCAGATGATAAGTCTTTCTATTACCTTGCTTCTTTTAAAGTCACAAACATCAAATACAAAGAAAAATATGCAATGAAAACCTCAAGGGAGTTTGTAGAAAGAAGTCATCAAATTGAAAGAATGGTAAGTTCCACAGAAATTTAAATGTTTATAAATGAGTTTTTCTGCCTTTCTATTGCTTTCACTATAAGAGCATATCTTTTCTGTACCTCCATTCCTCTGTAAAATGTTGATAATATAGTTCCCAAGTCATATGATTGTGAAGATTAAACAAGTTAATATATTTAAAACATTTATAATAGCATTGGACATCATTATATACATGTAGTATATTAGAATGTAATAGATTAGAATTAGCACTTAAGAAAATGGTTGGTCAAATATTTTCCCTATCTGTACCAAAAAGAATTGGCTGACACAGAAGACTTTCATGAAAAACCATATGATCAAGGGGCAATGGTGATGAAGGAGAAAGTTCAGGCTGCTCTGAAGAGCTTGGCAAAAATTAAAGCCCCAGGAATTGATGGAATACATATTTCAATGAACAGATACTGCCTGGGATGTATTCACCAGCCATCACAGAAATCTGGAAGACAACTTAACTGGCCAACAAACTGGAAGAGATCCATATTTATCCCCATTCCAAAAACAAGTGATCCGACAGAGTGTGGAAAGTATTGTACAACATCCTTATTTTATATGTAAGCAAAATCCTTCTGAAGATTATCCAGGAATGACTGAACGAGCATTGACAGAGAACTACCAGAAATACAAACTAGGTTTAGGAGAAGCCATGGCACTACAGATAATTATTGTCAATCTCAGATGGATCTTGAAAGAAAACAAAGAGAAACTAGAGAGATATCTATCTGTGTTTCACTGACTATTCAAAGACATTTGACTGTGGATCACAATAAATTGTGGTTAACCTTGAGGAGAATGGGAAGGCCAGAACACTTGATTGTGCTTATGCGAAATCTATACTTGGACCAGGATGCGGTACTCAGAACAGAGCAAAAAACACTGCATGGTTCAAAATCAGGAAGGGAGTGTGTCAAGGTTGTATTCTGTCTCTTACCTTTTCAATCTATATGCAGAACAGATCATTCAGTAGGCTGGAATTATGAGGAGGAATTTGGCATTAGGATTAGAAAAAGACTCATCAACAACCTAGGTTATGCAGATGACATAACCTTCCTCACTGAAACTGAGGAGAACCTTAAGAGCTTGCTGCAGAAGTTCAAGGACTATAGTCTTCAATATGGATTGAAACTTAATATCAAGAAGACAAAGATTCTCACCACTGGGACAATGGGTAAAACCGTGATGGATGGAGTAGAAACTGAGGTTGTTAACAGTTATAGCTTTTTTGGCTTCACAGTCAACACTCTTGGCAGCATAAGTCAGGAAATCAAAAGACTTATAAATTAAGTAAGTCTGCTGTCAACAACCTTTCCAGAGTACTGAGAAGTAACAATGTCAGGATAGAGACTAACGTGCACCTGATCCAGGCCCTGGTCTTCAAACTACTTGCTATGCATCAGAGAGCTGGGCAATGACTAAGGAAGACAGAAGAAGAATTAATGTCTTTGAGTTGTGGTGCTGGAGAAGAGTCTTGAACATAACATGGGCTGCCAAGAAAATAAATAGGTCTATCTTGGATAGAGTGAAATCAAGTTTCCCCTTGGAGGGTAGAATTTTGAAGCTTCATCTCACATACATTGGACACATTGCCAGGAGGGCCTGGTCCTTGGAGAAGGACATCATGCTTGGTAGAGTGGAGGGATAGCACAGAATATGAAGACCCCGAATGTGATGGATTGATACACTAACTAGAGCAATGCAGGTAGCTGTGTTGGAGTCCGTGAGACAGGCTCAGTACAGGGCAGTGTTTAGAACTGTTGTACAAAAGGTCACTATGAGTCACAGGTGACTCAAGGGCACATAACAACAACAACAACAATTAATTTTCTTCAATCGGCTCTAACATAATTTCCACACTTATGTCACAATTTCATTTCTTTTGGTTTTTTTAAAGCTCTAGGTCCAGTGGTAAGGAGTTACACTGCCAAAGCAAGGCATAAGGTTCAAATCCATCAGATACTGCACAGGAAAAAGAAGGGCAGTCTATTTCCATGAGATTTACTCCCTGTGAAAACCTGCTGAGTGTTAGCTATGAGTCAGTTCTAAGTCAATAATACATGTCAATAACAAAGTGGATGCCACTCCTTCTTCCAAATATAAAATAATGAGTATCTGTAATTTCTGGTATCAATCTTAAGTTGTAATCATCAGTTGTCTTTGAGTCTATTCCAATTCATGGTGACCCTGATTTGGGCAAAGTACAACGGTGCCAAAGAATTTTCAAGGCAAGATAGATTTTTCAAAAGATTGCAAGGCCAGACTACTTAAACTACCAACTTTTCAACTAGTAGCCAACATTTTTTGCCACTCCAGGGCCACTAATGTTAATTAGATCCCTTAAATATCCTTATTTCTATTGATAATATGCATGTATCATTCACCTATCCAGTTACTGGCATTGAGTTGATTCTGACTCATGGAAACCCTGCAGAAGAGAATGAAATTACCTTACTAGTGTTGCCAAACTTTCAAATATTTACTGAACCAGTTTGTGTCCTCTTTCTCCCATGGAATAATTAGGTTTGAACTACTGATAGCAGCCATGAATCTTTAACCACTATGCCAACTGGGCTTCTCATGAGTTTATCAAGACATTTATGTTTTCTTAAAATACGTTATGCAACACAAATTAAGTGGTTGTTTTTGAGCACCATTGAGTTGAAAGGAACCCATAGCTTACCCTCCAGAGAGTTTTTCAGAGGCAGTTGATTGCATGGGAAGAGATTGTTCATCCTTCTCCTGAGGAGCAGCTGTTGGATTCCAACCACATGCCGTTGGAACCACAGTGCATTTTCTTCCCACTGGCCCCAGAGTAGAATTTTTTTCTTTCATCTTTAAATGCCCCCTTTTACTGAATGTTGTATTTTATGATGTAAATATGCACATATATTCTATGTATATAGATCATGGATAGTTTATTGGCATGTTATTGTTAAGTGTTGTTGAATTCAGTATGATTCATAGCGACACTATCTATGTTATCGTCGTCATCATCTTTGACATTCTTAAGCCCACTGCTGTGTCAATCATTGGGGGCCCTTTTTTATTGACCCTCCACATTGCCTTGCGTGGAACCCTTTTCTAAGGAACAGCTCCACCTAACAGCATGTTCAAAGTATAAAGACAAAGCTTTGTCATCTTGCCTCTAAGGAACACTCTGACTGCTCTTTCTCCAAGCCACATTTGTTTATTCTTTTAGCAGTCCATGAGATATCCAATACTCTTCTCTAACCTTACAATTCAAAGACATCTGCTGTGATTATTTAGTGGTAAGAGACTGCATTGGCAAGCACGGTTCTAATCTACAAGCTTCTCTTCAGGAGAAAGATGGGCAATCTCCTCCCATACAATTTACTGCTTTTGCAAACCCACTGCAGGGTCAGCTATTGGTCAGTTCCAATTCAATGGTACACAAAAACAACAATTAATTGTCCAGCTCTCAGATCCATAACAAGAGTTTGGGAAGACCATATCTTGAATCAGGCACACCTTAGTCTTTAAACTGACATCATTGTTCCTGGATACCTTGAAAAATCCCATGACAGGAGATTTTTGCCATGCAGTATGCCTTTTTATTTCTTGATTGTCCATACTTTATTTCTTGATTGTCCATATGAAGGGTGCTGATTGTAGATCCAACTAAATAGAAATAGTTGATAGTTTCAATGTTTTCTCCATCTATAATAATGTCAAGAAGACAAAGATTCTCACCACTGGACCAATTGGAAGCATCAGGATGGATGGTGAAGAGATTGAGATTGTACACACCTTTAGTTTGCTTGGCTCCACAGTCAACACTCTTGGCACCAGTAGCCAGGAAATTAAAAGGTGCATTGCCATGG